GGTTCTGTAGTTTCAAAGTTTGTCTCTTTTAAGATTTTAAGATTATGGAAGGGACTTCAGATTCTTAACCCTTGGGTCGAGTGCTGTAGCTATTTTTAGAAATCTCACATGGGTATCTTCTTAGTGTTTTGTCAACATTTTCATCGCAGATTTCTTAACCAAGACTGCCAGAACCTCGAGTGTATGGCAAAATGTGTGTAAGATAGAACAGGAGACATAATTCTCCAAGGAATTCAGTTACAAATTTAATTAATGTATTTTATTAACGAGCATCATCACTATAGCCCTGAAAAGTCGCAGATATCTTCTTTATATCCTCAGGAATCCACGTCTCACTTTTATGGATGTGGATACAAATTTTGCATTTGTGCAGGTCTCTAATCTTCATCATATAACCATGTCTTTTGGGATGGTGGCTGAAGCATGAAGTGTCATATGAATGTTTAGCATTTCTGGCAAGTGAATATCTTTCAATGCTGTCTACAGAAGTGTCAGGCAAATGCCTGTTCTGGCTTTCAGGTAAATAAGTAGTAGGCAGTATTATCTCCTGTAAATGTAAATTAACTTGTTTGTCGCGATTTGCTGAACAAGAAGTAGGACTGAGGGGATTTATAGGCTCCAAAATTTACATGCTTTTTTTTTTTTGAGTGCAGTTCTGTAACAAAAAATACCCCCTACATTGTAAGTTACGCTTTCATGATAAAGCGATTGCACTACAGTATTTGCATGATGTGAATTAAATACTATTGTTTTTCATTTTTACAGTGCAAATATTTGTAATAAAAATCATAAAAGTGAGCATTGTACACTTTATTCTGTACTGTAATGAAAAGGTAGAAAAACATCTAAAATGTAATGAATTTCAATTGGTATTGTTTTACACTGCAACCAGTTACAATTAATTTTTTTGAGTTAATCGTATGAGTTTTAACTGCCATTAATCAACAGCCTTAGTTTTTAAATTTAGAATTTTTCTGTTTTATTGAGTATAACCAGATTTAAAGACGAATATACTTTAGTGTTAAAAAAACATTGAGTCTATTTCCACAGTAACTGACAGACACTTATGCAGAGTCTTTCATCCAAACCTTCTGTATATATTATTTATGATAAAAATAATATATGGGGGGTTTGAGATATTACTGGTTCAGTTGGTATTTCCTAATTTATGTATAGGGAGCATTGTCTCTAACTGGTAGAATCTTTCAGAAATGAGGCATCTTTTAACGTTGAACTACTGTATTGATGTATCTCAGTAGGTGCTCTACTTTTTTTTTTAAATAAGCCTGAGTACTAAGAAGTGTAGTTGAACATAACCAACATCATGAGCAACCTATGGATCCACAGTGCTGTAACGAGAGAGTGTGAAGCAGTCCTGTGGAGACCTAAGTACCAGACTATACAGAAAGTAAAGTTGAGTGCCTTGTATACCTGTAGAAACTTTGAAAATATCTGGTGCTGCATTTATAGGTGCCGTACTTTCTTGTTCCTCATCCCATAGAAACACACAATTGGGCAATTGCATTTTGCATAGATGAAGTCTTGTATGTTCTTAAAGAGTAGCCCCAAGTACAACGAAATGCAGTACAGGTTGAACCTTCAAGATCTGGGACTCTCTGGTCTGGCAAAATTTGTGGTCCGGCAGGAGCGGGAGCTAGCTGGGAGAACACAGAGCTAGGGAGCCCTGACTGGGTCAGCAGTGGCTGGGCCAGATGGTGGCTGGGAAGCCCTGGCTGGGGAACCCCAGTGTCAGTGGGGCCAGGTGGGGAAAGGAGAACCCCCGCCCTGGCCAGAGAAACCCTGGCCAGGTGAGAACCAGGCAGCCCTGGGCCAGGGAACCCCCAGTGGTAGCAAGACTGGCACTGGCAGTGGGGCTGGTGGTGTACAGGTAGCCCGGGCTGGGGTAACCCGGGAAACCCCCAGCACCCTGGCCAGGGATCACCCCCCTTTCCCCGCCCTCCCCCCGTCCCTTGTCCGTGGGGCTGGGGAATTCAACAAGGACAAGTGCAGAGTCCTGCCCTTGGGACGGAAGAATCCCAAGCATAGTTACAAGCTGGGGACCAACCAGTTAAGTAGCACTTGTGCAGAAAAGAACCTAGGGGTTACAGTGGATGAGAAGCTGGATATGAGTCAACAGTGTGCTCTTATAGCCAAGAAGGCTAATGGCATATTAGGTTGCATTAAGAGAAGCATTGCCAGCAGATTCAGAGATGTCATTATTCCCCTTTATTCGGCTCTGGTGAGGCCACATCTGGAATATTGTGTCCCGTTCTGGGCCACCCACTACAAAAAGGATGTGGACACATTAGAGAGGGTCCAGCGGAGGGCAACCAAAATGAATAGGGGGCTGGAGCATATGACCTATGAGGATCAGCTGAGGGAGTTGGGTCTGTTTAGTCTGCTGAAGCGAAGAGTGAGGGGGATTTGATAGCAGCCTTCAACTTCCTGAAGGGAGCTTCCAAATAGGATGGAGAGAGGCTGTTCTCAGTGGTGACAGATGGCAGAACAAGGAACAATGGTCTCAAGTTGCAGTGGGAGAGGTCCAGGTTGGATATTAGGAAAAACTATTTCATTAGGAGGGTGGTGAAGCACTGGAATGGGTTCCCTAGGGAAGTAGTGGAGTCTCCATCCCTAGAGGTGTTTGTCTCGGCTTGACAAAGCCCTGGCTGGATTGATTTAGTTGGGATTAGTCCTGCCTAGAGCAGGGGGCTGGACTTGATGACCTTCTGAGGTCTTTTCCAGTTCTATGATTCTATGAATTCCCAGTGGCAGTGGGGCCAGGTGGGGCTGGGCTGGGCAGCCATCTTCACAGCAGGAGGTGGACAGGAGCAAACATGCTTGTCAGCTTCCCTTATTCCTTGCAACTGCCCGGAGTACCAGCACAGAATGGGAGTGCCCTCAGGGTTCGATTTAGCGGGTATTTACTAGACTTGCTTAATTGAATGCCAGATTGTTCTCCGGCTTTTAAGTATAGATGAGGCCTAAGATAAAGACACCCTGAAATAGTGTCTGGAAGGAGGGTGGAGCAAGCAAAGAGAGACTGTCGAGAGATTGTCTCCCCATCCCCAAAAGTGGCAGTGAATAGAGAAATATAAGAAAAAAGCAGGAGATATAGTAAGTTACATCTGTGGAATCCCCGGTACTGAATATTTTTCAGAGACAGTTAGACATCATCTTGTCAGGGATAGTCCAGGTGTCAAGGGGGTGGGTGGGATGACCTTTTATAATCCTTTCCAACCCTATATTTCTGTGATTATTTCCCTTTCCTCAACTTTGTTCCTGTATTGTCTGGTTAGTGATTTGATCACAGTCTGTTAATATGTAAATCAAGAACAAATATTAGATATTAGGCCAGGGGTATGGAACCTTTGGTATATGACACATCAGGGTAAGCTGCTGATAGGCCATGAGACATTTTGTTTACATTAACCGTTGACAGGTATGACTCTTAGGGGTTGTGGTTCACTGCTCCTGGCCAATGCAAGCTGTGGGAAGCAGTGCCCAGTCCATCCCTACAACCCATGCCAATTTTTGCAGCTCCTATTGGCCAGGAATGGTGAACTGCAACTGCTGGGAGCTACAGGGAGGTTGTGCCTGTGGCCGATCAATATAAACAAAATGTTTTGCAGCCTGCCAGTGAATTACCCTGGTGGATCATGTATCAGAAGTGTATAACCCCTGTAATAGGCTCTTTAGTCTACCAGGAAGTTGAGGCTTGTTAAATTCATACTGGAAATTAAATGTATATTGTTCTAATTGTTGATTACCCTAATTGTTAACAAGTTATTAAAAGTTATTGTGTGTTCTTCATCACTGTGGTATTTTTTAATTTTTTTCCTAAAAGTCTCTTTAAAAACAGGAATTGTTTTGGGGAAGTTTTGTGGCCTGTGTTATGTAGAAGATCTAGGCTGGATGATCAGTGCTCCCTTAGAATCTATGAATTATAAACTCTCAGGACCGTCATTGTTCCTTCCTACGTATTTGTACTGTGAATGCCACTTGAGGGGTTTGAGTGTAGTTAGGCCCTTCAGATCTTCTCATAATACATCTTCAATATAAAGAAGCAAAACACCAAACCAATTTTTTCCCCCTATTGTCAATCGCCTTCACAAAAATGCAATTTTTGAACAAGTGGTTGCCATTGTCTTTCGGGTGGTAAATTAGTGAGAAATACTGTTACAATGAGACAAAACCATTTGGATTACTGTAAATACTGTTAAGATCTCAGTGTAGAATAGGTACTGTAGATGAATTTTGGAATGAGTTAAATTGATTTTTTTCCTTAATTTCTCCATCTCAAATGCTCTTAATTTGATGGGTGCAAAATGTAGGGAAGAGGGTACTGGGTGATATCTTTGAAGCATTCAGTAATCGCCAAAAAGCGTGTTGCTGGGGCTGCAGGGATATGGCAAATACTGTGTCTTCTCCATCCACCAGTTGAGAAGTAAATATCTGAACTTTTTTCAGCACACATAATGAAAACTCTAAACACACTAAACTTAGAATCATAGAATCACAGAATCATAGGACTGGAAGGGACCTGGAGAGGTCATCGAGTCCAGCCCCCCGCCCTCAAGGCAGGACCAAGCTCCACCTACACCATCCCTGACAGATGTCTATCTAACCTGTTCTTAAATATCTCCAGAGAGGGAGATTCCACCACCTCCCTTGGCAATTTATTCCAATATTTGACCACCCTGACAGTTAGGAATTTTTTCCTAATATCCAATCTAAACCTCCCCTGCTGCACTTTAAGCCCATTACTCCTTGTCCTGTCCTCAGAAACCAAGAGGAACAAATTTTCTCCTTCCTCCTTGTGACACCCTTTTAGATATTTGAAAACCGCTATCATGTCCCCCCTTAATCTTCTTTTTTAATCTTCTACACAAATTGCGTATTTTATCTCAAATCTATTTTGTAATAGCTTATTTTGAACTTTGGTGCCAAATTTCGAAATAATGTGCTATTTCGAGCCTTCCCTTGTTCCTCATGCAATGAGGTTTACCAAGATGATGAAATAGCACACCCGTTATTTCAAAAAATATTTCGAAATAACGGGCGGCTTTTTGTTAGACCTCCAGTATCCCGTAATAGCCGTGCAGTGTAGACTTATCCTGAGAGAGATGTTCTCTTGTATTATGGCCAGATTCTGTCTTTGGGTGTGCCTATGTAATTCCCATTTACTTAGTGGGATATCAGTGCATGTGTCTGATGACAAAATTTTATACCTTCCTTTTTTTGGTATTGTCATGAGCAGTAGCAGTACATTTTCTGACTAGAATAACTTAGCAGTTTTTCCTGTAACAGCTTTGTTTAATATAGGTCTGCTCTGTTTTCTCTAGTCTCACAATCTGTGTAAAGGGGTAGTATATACTGATTTTGTTAAAGGAATATCTTTTACTAAATATGTAGCTAGTAAATTGGAATTGCATTGCAGTTGCTCTTCAATCAGCAGATACTTTTTAAAAAAAAATCTTGAGTATCCAGGTAGCAATGCTGCAGATACTGAGAATTGTCTTTATACCTCAAAAAAATACATTGTAAATAGAAATATACTTTATTTGGTAGGGGATGACACTAAATTTTAAGAAAAAAATAGATGTTTTCAAATTAAGTATGTACATATTTGTATATAATGTCTGTTTAACTTTATTCAAACTACCAAAAAGCAAATTAAGCAATCAAAGCTTTAGTTGCCTAACAGAAAGATTTCAGTATTTATTTCTGGCATTCAGTTCAGGGAGTATTTCAGTGTTCTGAATCAGATTGTGAACTTAGTTACAAACATTTGGTAACTATTACATGGGTTTTTTCTCCTCCCATCTTAAAAATATTGCCCACACATTCTTAAAATTGGTATCTGGTGGATGGAGTTTGACAGTCAGTGCTTTTTCTGTGTCACATGCCATATGGCTGTTTAAAAATCTATCTTTCAAACTTCATAGAAGCATGTCTGTCAGCAAAAACATAGATATAGATATTTGTGCGTGATGAGCAAGTAGTAGAATAGATTATTTTAAAAGATGAAATTCAGAGTTCTACATTTGCAGTTGTACTCTTCTGTTGAATTAAGAATGTCCTTATTCATTCCCAGTTTATTCATTAAATGAATTCACAATCCAGGAGTGTTTTGAGTAGTGAATCTATAAAATATCAGTGTTTCGGTTTTATAAAAAAGTGCATGTATGTTTCTGATGTCTTAGACATTTCACCTTGGATAAACCATGTAATAAAACTAAATCCAAGAAACAGCAAACCTGTAATTATCTGTTCTGTACATGACTTAGTGCATAAAGAGCAAAAGGACTTTAATGCTTTTGATATTATTACATGTACTACAATGAAATAAACTTGAATGGAGTAGAGATATTTAAATAATTTTACATTTAATATTAGAGGTTGTCTTTTTTTTTCAAATTCCTAAAACACATTTGAACCTTTACTTTGGATTAAATAAGACTTCTGTTGAAGCACTTCTCTGAATATCTAGTCATACTTCATGAAAGTTTAACTTGTTAGGCCAAGTTTTCCCTCCCCAAGGAATCTCATTATACTAAAATGTGGACTTTCCGTGTTTTAACTAAGTCAGTTTGTGTCTGAATTCTAAGATGGATCCAGAGATGATCAAGGATTATATTTGGGAATGCTAATGATACAGAGTGCTTTAGTGCATGCCTACAAAAATGGTATTTAAATAGCCTTGTGAATGTTCCTTGTGTGTGTTGACTTGGCCTTGGTGAAAACTTAAGATTGCAACACTGTACAAATTAGTCTCTCTTAGGTGTAACGATAAAGAATATGCCAATAAATTACCATATGGAGAGCTCAGTGTTTTCATCCACTAGTTGAGGTAAACCCTGATTCTACATATGTAGAATGCTGGGTCTTGGCTGCTGACCCACAGAAAAATCAGTTGGGGGCTGTACACAACTGAGAAGCAAAAAACCCGCAAACAGACCACCACTGATGTGGCCCCTGACTGAGAAGAAGAAAGATACTCTCCACATTCCCCTCACGCACTGGATCTGGGTGCAGTGGGAGCAAGTTAGTAGATTGTGTGCTTCAGCTGCATGGGGGGCAGCGGAGGGGCTGGAGTGCTAGCACGGGTTCCTCAGTATTGGGGGAGAAGGGAGCCTCAGGGGCCAGATCCAGGCAAACCAGGTGCCTCATCCAGCCCCAAGGCCTTAGGTTCCCAGCCCCGATCTAGGTGAAACCAGAGTTAAGGTTTTTGTTTTTTAGTTTGACTATATAAGGAATCTGCGTGAACTGAAGTGTTCTCCTATACAAAACTCATTGGGAATTGGTGCCTGGAGTTCTGATCCTGCATATACTTAGGCACTGCAATCCATTGACCTCAATGGGACGATTCATATTCTTAAAGCTAGACATGTATGTAAGTGTATTCAGTATTGGAAGATGATGTTTAGTGGAGTTAAAATTAGGAGGGACATAAAAGCACCAGTTCTTGGTCTGAGTGTCTTCACTTCCGGGTTTTAGTCTTCATGTATGGATAAAATAAGTACCTAAAACAGAGAGAGAGAGAAATGAAAGAAGAACCTGACGAGTATTAATAAATTTTGAGCAAAAAGCAAGAACAACCCACAGTAACAGTAGTTTACTCCTAATATTTATAACTTGTTAGTGGTGTCCTTGTGGGTGCTCCACTCAGGTCTTGGTGCATCCTCGCACCAGGGATCGGAGAGTTTTGCAGAGCAGTATCCCTTGCACTGCACCAAGCATTTCGTGCCTTGCCGTTTGTGGAGTGCACGTGGAGTGCGAGTTCAGTCAGTTCCTTTTAAACCGTCTTCAGCTGAAGACGGAGTTCAAAGCAGCACTCTTCTTCCTCACAGGGAAACGAGACATTTATAATTAGTTTAGGCTTTACCTCAAATTCGTTAATTATAGCTAGTTTCAACGTTGATTGTTTTAAAAAAAAAAAAAAAAAAAAAAAGCAGCCACCACGGCGACTTCCCTTTAGCATGCGAGGTTCCCCTGGCTTTAAAAGATGCAACTTATGCAGAGACTCAATGCCTACCTCTGACAGCCATGCCTTCTGTGTCAAATGCCTGAGGGAGTCCCATGCAGCACATAAGTGCCCTGGCTGTCGGAATGTGATGCTAGGGCCAGAAAAGACTGTGAAATGCGGCTTAAAGCCATGCTCTGGGAAAAGTCTCTTCAACTTTCAAGGGACAAATCAGAGGAATTGAGGGGACAACAAAAGCCCTCTGGCAGGACAGCTTCATCACCCCGCAAAGGCTCTCAAGCAACAAGGACTTCCCCGGCATGCTTGTTATCAGTGCTGCCTAGAGCCTCTCTTTCCTCAGTGCTGCCAATCTTTGGCACTGCAGAGAAACCCCCCACATCAGTTCCAGCTTCATTAGGTTCCTTGGGAAACATGGCAGGGGTACCAACCACGTTCTTCCCATGCTTACCACTCAAGACACACAGCCTCTACATCTCAACAGCACACTTTCAAGCGCTCACCCACAATCTCTGCATGCTCCTCGCTTGCTCACCTACCCTCAGTAATCTCTCAAGCGGGGTTCTAATGAGCATGACAACTCACCTCACTCAGATTCGGAGAGCTCCTCACACGAACCTAGATCCAGACAGGACAAAGCAGTATTTCAGATCTCGCCTTCTCCACCAGCAGATGATCTGAAACAATTTCAGAAATTGTTTAAATGGGTAGCCCAATCCCAAAACATCACATTACAAGAGGTTCAAGATAAACAATACAAATTACTCATCATATTACAACCAACAGCATCCTTGAAGATAGCTTTACCTGTCAATGAAGCTATCCTTGAACTTTTAGATTCCCTGTGGAAAAATCCAGCCTCTGTTCCGCCCACAAACCATAGAGCAGACAGAAAATATTTTTTCCCTGCAAAAGACATACACTTTCTCTTTGCACAACCCAACTGAACTCACTGGTAGTGAACTCGGTTAATCGCAAGGCTAAGAACCCACAATTTAAGTCTACGCTCCGTGACAAAGAACACAAATGGCTAGACACCTTTGGCCGCAAAGTGTACACTTCTGCCACACTCCAGTTCAGTATATCAAATTATACAGCCCTTCTGGCCAATTATGATCATGCCAACTATGCCAAATTATAATACCTGCTTTAGGATCTCCTTGACAATAAATGACCTCCCCATCAATCCATTATTAAGGAGGTTTGTCAATAGCGAAAACTGCTCTCCAGGTCACTATGGATGTCGCAAACTCTGCTGCTAGAGCCACAGCCATTGTAATGTGTACAGCCTTGTGGCTACAGTCATCAGGGGTCCCAAGAGAATTGTAGTCAAATGTGGAGAATCTCCCCTTTGATAGAAAACAGCTATTCGCTAACAACACAGATGAGATCCTACACTCAATAAAGGACTCTTGAATGACACGCTGCACTCTGGGAATGTACACCTCACCTGATAAATGCAAATATACCCCCTACCAAAGGCCTAGGGACTATAATTACAATTACTATAGACAACAGCAGAGGCCATATGACAACAGGCCCAAGCAATGTCCTAACAGGAGGAGGATGCAGCAAAACCACTCCTCCACAGCTTAATCCACTTCTCACCAAACGGCAAACTTGAAGTGTTAGTCGAGGGTCTGAGCGACCACCCCGCAATTCTAGTGCATTCCAAGGTCACCTTCCATCACTGCCTGAGACCTTTCTACCAACAACGGACCTAAATTACCACAGACAAATGGGTCCTGGGAATTATCAAATCGGGTTATGCAATTCCCTACTCCAATTATTTCCTCATAGCCAAAAAAACCAGGGGGATGGAGACTGATCCTCAATCTCAGGAAACTCAATGAGTTCATTCGCAGCACAAGATTCAGGATGGTGACCCTCGCAGCCATCATACCTGCACTTGATGAAGGGGACTGGTTCTTAGCCCTCGACCTCCAAGATGCATATTTTCATGTAACTATCCACTGATCCCACAGAAGATTTCTCAGATTTTTCATGGTCCAAGCCCAGTATCAGTAGAGAGTCCTCCCCTTTGGCCTCTCTACGGCCCCTTGAGTATTTTCAAAGACGCTAGCCGTCGTCATGGCTTTCCTCAGAAGGCAAAATATCATTATCTTCTCTTACCTCGACGATTGTCTAATCAGGGCCCTACCTATCAACTAACTACTATCATGACAGCTGTTACCAGGGAATGTTATTCCCGACTTGGCCTGCTTATCAATATACAAAAATCCACCAGATATCTTTTGCATAGGCTATAATTTATTGGGGGCATTTCTAGACTTGGTCACAGCAAGAGCCTACCTCCTGCCACAAAGATTCGAGGCAATCTGTGGCTTCGTTCAACAGGTCAGGCAGGCTCCCTTCTCCACAGTCCAGTTATTGGGACATATGACTGCCAAAATTTTTGTAGTTCTATTTGCAAAGCTACACACAAGGTGCCTTCAACATTGGCCCACAATCAACTATATACTAACCCAACACAGCCTCATGAAGCATCTCACACTTCCTCTACCGGTACTACAGTCTCTCGAATGGTGGACATCTCCAGCCAACCTGCTCACAGGCGTACCCTTTCACCGGCCAGACCCCTTAGTTACCAAATGACAGATGCATCACTTATGGGCTGGGGGGCCCATTGTGGCACAACATCAATACTGGGTACATGGGCCCAGCACGAGAGACACTTCCACATCAACATCCTGGAGCTCAGGGCCATTCACAGGGCTTGTGCTCTTTTCCTTCCCCGATAAAGGGCAGAAATATCCGTGTCCTCGCAGACAACACACCTTCTATGTTCTATGTCGATCGGCAGGGGGGTGCCTGATCAAGCTGTCTATGTGCCAAAGCAGTCATATTTTGGAACTGGTGCATCAGGAACCAGATAACCCCAACAGCCATGTATATACTGGAACAACAGAACGTGAGAGCTAACAAACTAAGCAGACATTTCTCAGATCAGCACAAGTGGGAGATCAATACCAATATCCTCTTCTTAGTCTTCCACAAATGGGGCTTTCCAACTATTGACCTCTTTGCAACACCTTATAACCGCAAATGCTGCAGATTCTGCTCCTGGGCAGGAGCGGGCAAGAGGTCACAAGCGGACACCTTCACCATTCTTTGGACAACTCCCCTACTCTATGCCTTTCTACCAATTCTGCTTATTGCCAGGGTGATCAACAAGATTCGGTTTGATTGGGACACAGTAATCTTAATAGCCCCAACTTGGCCGAGACAACCCTGGTTCCCTTATCTCCACTACCTATCGAGAGATCAACCCATTCCTCTCCTGGTGGTGCCGAACCTCCTGGCGCAGCACCCTGGCAGCACGGGTCACCTCAACATCAAAACTCTGAAACTCACAGCATGCCTTCTTCATGGTTCCAGAATTAAGAACTCACCTGTTCGGATAGAGTCAAACACATTCTACTGAACAATCGGTGTTCCTCCACGAGAAGCACCTATCAAAACAAATGGACACACTTTCAACAATGGTGCATGATGCACAATTTGCATCCCACTACAGTCCCTATACCTACCTTACTTGACTACCTCATGGACCTCAGCAACACAGGCCTCTCCATCAGCTCCGTCTGAGTCCACCTAGCGGGGATCATGGCCTTTCATGATCCGGTAGATGGCTTCTCCCTCTTCGCACATCCCCAGTGAAGCATTTTCTCACAGGATTACAGAAAATGTGTCCCAACCTGCTCCCCCTGGTACCACCGTGGGACCTGAATTTGATCTTTGACATGCTCACCAGGCCACTCTTTGAGCTATTAGTCACTATGCCTCTACAATACTTATCTATGAAGGTGGCATTCATAGTGGCAATAACATCAGCAAGAAGGGTAGGAGAAATCGCAGCCCTCATGGCTGACCCACCTTTCCGCTACTTTTACCAGGGATAAAGTCATACTCAGACCCCACCCCAAGTTCCTCCCTAAGGTTATATCTGACTTCCACATAAATGAACCCATTTACTTACCTGCTTATTTCCCTAAACCTCACGCCTCCTCCAAGGAGGCTATATTACATACTCAAGATGCAGGATGGGCAATTACATTCTACCTTGATAGAACTAGAGCAACCAGAAAATTGGACAGACTCTTTGTGGCGTGGTCAGGACTACATGTAACAGCTGTTTTAGCGCAGCGCCTATCCAAATGAATTGCAGGCTGCGTACATACCGCTTGTGAATTCTGGGGCAAACAGCCACCATAGTCCCAGGGCTCACTCCACAAGTGCGATAGCCTCCTCCATTGGTGGACATTTGTAGGGCAGCCACATGGTCATCACACCGTACTTTCACACAGCACTATGCCCTACAAAAAGTACCCTCCACATCTCTAGCAGATGTGGTCCTTCCTTCTTCAACTTAAGACTCCAATGCCCACCTCCATCTGGCGAGTCACCTGAGTTGAGCAACCACAGGACACCACTCACTGAAGGAGAAGTTACTCACCAGGTGCAGTGACAATGGTTCTTTGAGATGTGTGTCCTTGTGGGTGCTCTACTACCCTACCGTCCTCCCCTCTGCTTGGAGTCTCCATGGACTTACAGGTAGAAAAGGAACAGACGGGACTCGCACTGCACATGCATTCCAGAGACACGAGACGCTTGGTGCACAGACTCAGTGCGAGGGGCAGTGCTCTGCAAAATTCTCCAATCCCCAGCGTGAGGATGCACTGAGACCTGAGTGGAGCACTCAGAAGGACACACATCTTGAAGAACCATTGTTACTGCACCTGGTGAGTAACTTCTTATAATGCTAAATATTTTTCATATAACTGCTATAGGAACCAGGGTTGATGATTTCAAAGCTATTGGAGTATTTAGCCATACAGTTCCCAATAAAATTAATGCAAGTTGTGTGGCTAAACCTGTTAGTCAGCTTTTACAGTTCAATCTAAATCTATGAAGAAAGACATAATTAAGCTAAGTAGGTAAAAGATTTTTTCACTTAGTGTGTAAAGTTAACATACAGCCTATAGGCACTTAAGGCTGAGTTTCAGAGAACACGCAGTATCACCTATTGATTTTTGCCTGACACATCTTTCCATACTTACGATGATCTGTCTCCTTGTCTCATCAGGTGTAGCAATCAAAGTATTAAGCAGAGAATAGTAGTAGGGGAATTTTAAGTTTGAGTTTCTAATAAGTGTTTCAGGAGAGAGTCTGAAAAGGGGAAAAGTGTGGTGCATAGGAGCAGCTCTAGATAATTTTCTGTGCTGTCTTTGAGTGAAACTCCTCTCTGGCTCTCCTCTCTTCCTTCACATCTTCCCCTCAACCCCTCAGATTCATTAAGACATTTCTGTTCCTGTACCATCATCCTATGGTACTGCCGTATCTGCAACTCTGCATTACTGTGCTGCTTTTGTTCTCCGCTGCCTCCTGGTGCTCTGCTACCGTGCTCACTTCCACTATGTTTGTATTGATATTCCTCCTTGCCCACGTCTGATACACCTCTTGCCAACACAATTTCACCCCTTCCCCTTAAAAAGAGTGGTAGAAAGCCAACCCTAGGAAACTTCCCTCTCTCCCCTTGCAGACAGCTGAGTAAGAGTTAAGGTTGCTCATTTTATTATTTATTTATATCACCGTAGTGCATAAGCAGTTACCAGAACTCCATTGTGCCAGGTGCTGTACAAATGGAACAAAAAGATGGTCCCAGCCCCAGAGCATTTATGATCTAAATATGAGACAAGAGACAATGGGGAGGTATAGACATATGGAGGAGTGTAAGGAAACAGAGAGATGATACTGCTCACCATGATAGGCTGTGGTTTCTTCACACAGTACCTTAACCATTGTCAAGTTTTTTTAAAGGCATAGTGGAAAAGGAGCGTTGTGATGGATCTGAAGGTACATAAGGAGGCAGTTTTGCAGATGTTTGAGATGTGCCTCCCTTTTGTGAGGAGCTGTATGGGAGGCTGGCGTTATGGATCGACAGAAGGTGAAGCATTAATAGCTTGATAGCATGTGATAGATAAATAAGGTGGTGGTAGACTCCAAAAAATCTCAAACGTGAATTCAGGTAGCTTATGTTTTCATGTGTTAGGGAAAAGGCAACCAGTGGAAGTTTGGGTGATGTGGTCAAAACAGTGGCCTAGGAAAATAATCTTTACAAAAGCATTCTAAATGGGTCTGAGTTGGGCAAGATTGCATGTGTCAAGGCTGGAGAAATGGATGTTGCCGGAATGCACACATGAGATGATTAACTGCTGTGTGGCTAGGTAAGAAAGCTCAAGTGCTCTTACAAGACATTTAATACAAACAAGGGAAATTACCTGGAAAGGCAGTATTAGCATCTACAGAGTCAACATATCTGACAGAATACCCAAACATATGTTTGCAGCTCCATGAGAAAAGGTCAATTTCAGTCTTTATAAATAAGCGCGCACAGTGTATATATTCAAGAAACCTTAACTCTTATCTTGGTCTTCCTCTTCTGCAAATAAAATTTTCACTACATAGCACATTTAATATATGTAATACGGTCATCTAGGTGAAGTCAGAGTTAAGGATTTTATGTTTAGTTTGACTATAAGAAATGCAATACAGGCAGTCCCCGGGTTACATGGATCCGACTTACATCGGATCCCTACTTACAAACGGGGTGAGGCAACCCCGCACTAGCTGCTTCCCCCCAGCAGACCAGGGAGACGCGAAGCTAGCGCCCCTCCCAGCAGACCAGGGAGACGCAGAGCGGCTTTTCTCAGCAGACACCTCAGCTTGAGAATAAAGGACTGAGGGAAGTGAGGGGTGGGAGAATAAAACTGAGCTCTGGATAAATGTTTGGCTAGAGTTTCCCCTACAATATGTACCAGTTCCGACTTACATACAAATTCAACTTAAGAACAAACCTACAGTCCCTATCTTGTACGTAACCCGGGGACTGCCTGTACAGAGAATCTGACAAGAATTGTGTGATCCTCTGAGGGTTTTTTTTCCTTGCTGATCTTCAGTAGCAGTGAGAGATGTGTTCTGGAAATACACATGAGAATTTTCCACAGAGAATAAAGAAATCTAGAGAGAGGAATCTCAAAAAAGCATAGGATTCCTTTAGTCTAACAGGAAACTTTTTTAATACTGCTTTTTTTCCCCTAACAGCAGCCATCCCTAAAAGGTTGAACAGTCACATGCAGCTATATCAATAGTATAATACTTGCTTACTAGAGGTGGTCATTGGAACAGATTTAATTAAAATTGTTTTGGGAAGTCAGAGTGGAGCTTTGGCTGCCTTTCTGTGGCAGACTCCTTGTTTTAAAAGCTTTTAAATCACCATTATTGGCAGATGCATTGCCTTCACAGTAGATCATATGTCTCAGGTATTCATTTAACTGCACAGAACAGATGGCTGGAGTTCATTGCTACTTGCAAAAGAGAATGAGTATACTCTTACTATTCCAGTGAGATGCATGTTATTTAAATTTGTTTCCATGCAAGCAAGAGTTTTTTTGGTACATTCTGAGCAAATTGATAGTACCTGATTTGATCTAGATTGCATTAAATCATTTCTGTCTCTCAATAGTCCTTTGTCCTTTATCTACTTCACTGATTTTTTTGGAGGCTTCTTTGGGTAAATATCCTGAGTTTGATTTAGCATGTCTAGTAAGGAACCACTAAATGGACCACTGATGACATTCCCGTCGGCCCCTGAATTCAACCCGGTTGCAAAGAGTAAGGGAAGTAGACTGGAGAGTTTCTGACATCAGCCTCCCACAGTGGGGGCGTCACAGAAAATCAGCCTAAAGAATGTCAACTCCAGCTATGCTATTCTCATAGCTGTAGTTGTGTATCTTAGGTTGATTGTTTTTTTTTTTGTTTGTTTTTTGTTTTTTTTTTGGTACTGTAGACCCTAAAAGTAGCTTATGGGAAGCAAATGTAGCAATGAGTGTAGATTGTCCCTCAGTAATTGAGAATTTAGGAGAGGTTGTCCCTCAGTAAATACAATCCATCAGAGAAGAATTTCAGTTACTTTTGTGACTTGGCTTCTCAATGGCACTCCAGCTCATCTCTCCTATATTGCTGACATATGTGTTTTAAACAGATGTCCCATGACCACCTCATAGCATTCAACTCCAGGAGTTTCTGTCAGCTGAGCATAGCTCTGTTCAATTTCTGCTTTCCCACATTTGCTCATTTTTGGGATCCTGTGTGCACAGGGCTCCAGTGATCAGCACTCAAGAAAATTGTAATGGAAAAGCAGCCAAATGGATCATTTTGGCAATGCAATTCCATCACGCTGCACACCTGGGCAGAGTAGGTGTGTCTCTGCAAATGTGGTCTGCTCCTGAAGTATCACTAGATGTCAGAGGAGAGTTCATTCAGACTCTTCTTACATTCAGATGCTTAAGTCAATAGAAGCAAACTAATTATAATATAGATCAGTGACTTTTTATTTTCACTAAAATAAAAATGCCTTGGCCTTAATCATATGGTGTGCATGTTAGCTTTGGCTTTCTTCGTGGTCATGCACTGTTGACAAAAATTTTATTTTGCAAACATCTGATTAGACACGCACAATACTGAAGCAAATCCTTTCCCTTTCTTGGTTAAACACTCAATTTTGTGCATTGCTCAGCACTTCATGGGAATTGACCAGATGATTACAGATGTGATGTATATATATAGCTAGGAGGTTTATATATGAAGATGCACTTTGTCCAGATAATGAAATTATGGATGTTAAATTTAATCAGCTAATCAAGTAGTTGTTGGAATTAATCCGGAGTAGGGTTAGCTCCCAGCCTCTGGAGCTAACCCCACTGTGGCTCTGCCTTTGCCTGGTGGCTCTTACTACATTTAAAAAGCAAAGGTGCAGCAGGAGACCAAGCATGAGCTGGGAGTCTGCTTTCCCGGCTTGTGCCCGAGCCCCCGCTGCACTTCTGCTTTCCCTGCCCCCTCCGTGGAGATGGTGCTGGGGGGAACTCCTCCACTCCCCCTCCCACACGGCCTAGAGGCAACAAGGTGGGGGGAAGCAACTAGTCGAGTAGTCACTTGACTACCTGATAAGCATATGCTTATCGGTTAGTCGACTAGTTGCTTACATCACTAAATGCAATTTTGTGAAAAGTAAGTTTAATGTGAAGCAGTGTTATGCTTAGTATCTGAAAATTTGAGAGTATGAAACCAATTCTAAATTTTTTTTGTACTGCATTCTGTCCATTAAAGAGGAGAACGGGAGGGAGGGAAATGACCCTTCCCCCCCCCCCCGCACACCCCATGTAGCTATACTTGAAAAAGTATAAAAAAATCTACAGGTTGGACCTCCCTTGGAACCTGACTGGTCCTAAAGGAGGGCCTTCTGGCTTCTTCTGTCCTGGTCCCTGGTCTCATTGCCTCCAGGCTTTTGTTTGTGCTCTGGCTCTACTGCTTTGGGCTCTGGCTGCTGCCACCAGGCTCAGGCCCCGCCCCCCCGCACCTTGCGGGAGATGAGTTAATATTGATTAAGTATCATAAATGTGAATTTTCTTTTTTCCGGGTGTTTGAGGTTTTTTTTAAAAATGTTAACATTAACTTGCTTTTTCCTACAT